CAGTTCTTGTGAAATTTACAGGGGCAGAGGCGCAGAATACAAAGTTCGCACAGGCTACAATTTTGTCTAGGGCCGGCTCTGAGCGACAAGGTGCATTTAATTTAATTCTTCTTGAGACAAAAAAAATGTTTATTATCCATATCTTAATCTCCGATTTTCCCTATCAACACTGATCGTGTTATTTTACACAAAACACAGTAGTTCTATAATTCCAGTTTATCACGCTACAGTTGCCTGCCCTTCTTATATTTTACACTTTATCATTTGTTTATTTGAAGTTAAGCACAAAGCTACACAATGGTCTATCTGTGCTCTGCCCACCACGTGTATCGATACCCGGTTTTTAGCGTTGTAAGTCCAATTTTTAAAAGATCAGCCAAATTGTTTCACCTTACGCTTACTTAAGAACTCCGAGACAGTTACTTCTCTCTTCAGCCTAGATTATCGATCTAAAAAGTTATCCTACAGAGATCCAATGAACAGAGAATTAAAGTTTTCGCCGTTATGATGCTTTCACTTCGTAAAATTCATATCAGCAAAACGCAACGATCGACTAGGAGTTTTCAAACCACTTTGAATAATTTCTTATTTCTGTCAACGTCCATATAAGAACAGTTCCCCGAAATATATAGCTCTTCAGTGAGCGCGTGGTAACGATATCCTGTCGTTCAGAGTAAACAGTAACCGCAGAAATTCGCTTATTCTGATAATAGTCGTTATTTCGCATTAAGTCTGACATAATATGTTCTCAATTTTCTTATCTCAGCTTAAACTGGAATTTGGATACTTTTAGCGAGTGCGCTTAGATCTCGAAGAGTTATGAGCCAAATTAAGTATCAATTTAAATACTTACACTCCAGCTGAATAAGAATATACAGTTTTAGTTTTGGTGTTTTTTTTCTTCTCACTCCCTTTTTCTCTTGATGCTTGGTTTCTTATGTCATTAACCACTTATTCCGCGTATGCTTTCTTTTTCAGCAAATCCACTGCTGAAACATATTAAATTTCGATTCCCCTTTTTTTTCCACTACATAATGTTTCCTTTACCAATTGTAAACCATAATCATAAAGTCAATTCGCACCTCTGATATTTATCAGTGTCGTATTTTACATCGAAATTTTACACCTGGAGACAGATAGAAATGACTTTGCGACAGAGTTTGAATCCTGAATATCATAAATATATCCAGGCAACGAGCACCGTTACCACGTCAACCATCAGGATCCTGGTTATCACGTGCTGCAAAGAATGAGCTTCCGTTCTAAAACTGTGTACATATTACACAACTTAAAAGTATTATCTGAAAATAAAGATATCGTTAAAGAACAAACCTGACGCCAAAGCCTTTATCTACTCTTATAAATTTTGTGGACTTGCATTACTGAGTTTAATCTGGGACATATCCACTTTAACCGCCATGCCACGCTTGGGACCCTTATGGAAGTAAATGTTAACCGTCATGCCATACTTGTGACCCTTATCAGAGTAAATTTTAACCACCATGCCACGCTTGAGACCCTTATGAGAGTAAACGTTAACTGTCTTGTCACGCTTGGGACATTTATGGGAGGAAACAGTAACCTTCTTGCTATCCTTGGACCTCTTGTGTGAGTACACGTCAACCGCCATGCCACACTTGGGACCTTTATGGAAGTAAATGTTAACCGTCATGCCATACTTGTGACCCATATCAGAGTAAATTTTAACCACCATGCCACGCTTGAGACCCTTATGAGAGTAAACGTTAACCGACTTGTCACGCTTGGGACATTTATGGGAGGAAACAGTAACCTTCTTGCTATCCTTGGAACCCTTATGTGAGTACACGTCAACCGCCATGCCACACTTGGGACCTTTATATGAGTAAACATTAATCGCCTTGCCTCGCTTTGGACACTTATATGAGTAAACATTAACCGCCTTGCCACGCTTGGGACCCTTATGGAAGTAAATGTTAACCACAATACCACACTTAGGACCCTTATATGAGTAAACGTTAACTGCCATACCACGCTTGGGCCCGTTATGGGAATAACATCATCATTGGTAATTATAAAACTTGAAGAGCAAATACATACGTCGAAATCGCTTTAGTGTATTCAACATTTTGAAGTAATTACAAACATAGATTTATTGGTTTGACCGAATAATAAAATGTGGATCTACGTCGTAATTGTAAACCGTGTCCTTTCGGTAATAGTGCGAATAAATAAAACTGGGAATATGTTTTATTTAATTCTGAGATGGCTTGTTTTGTAATTAAGCACAAAGCTACACAATGGGCTATTTGTGCTTTGCCCACCACGGGTATCGAAACCCGGATTCTAGCGTTGTAAGTCCGCAGACATATCACTGTGCCACTGGGGGCTCTGAGATTGCAATCTAACTGAGACAAAAAGAATTGTAAGACACTTTAACAGGGAGCCAATGTTTAATACTATGTAGTACTATAAAAGTATCAATACAGAATAACACTTAAAATTAACAGAAAGTCAACGTGCCATGTGGTACTATAAATAATATGTTTAATGTCATATGGTACGATGAAAGTATAAATGCAGACTATAAAATCATCAATTTGAACTTTTTTTTTCAGTGGTAAATGAAAAACGTTTAAAATATTTATTTTAAAAGCATCTTCCTAATTAATCTCGTTTATTTAATTTGGTCTCGGTTTTATTTCGTACAAGAAATAAATAAGTACGTGCACAAGAAACACGTACCAGTCACGAGTTGATTGAGAAACGACTTCGAAAACTGAAGAACGACGAGATGTCCTGGCAAGGAGATTGAAACATCACGTGCTTGTTGGTGTCAAGCCGATATAAGCATATAGGGGGTGGGTTTTAAATACTGAAACATTGACCTTTAACCTTATCTTTCTTGATTATAAACCACCAACCTCCACTTTTGAAACTCAAAGATAAGCATACTAAATGATCAGGTAAAATATTTCAAAAACAACCCTGCCAATCTGATGCTCTGAAAAAAAAAACTTCAATTACAGTTCGCACACTTCATGAGCGAATAGCGTAAAAACTGTACAAAACATTGATTAAAGTTCGCTCACTTCATAAGCGAATAGTACAGGGAAAGTTTTAGTCATATGTTCGTCGCGATACAAAATTCGCCAAAAACAAGACATCAAAATCTCTTTCATAAATTAACATTTGTTACATACGTTAAATCATTTATGAAGAATGTTAAAAAATAGTATTGACATTTTCGTGTTTTTACAGTTTATATCCAGTTTTTCCCCTTCTTTACACATACATAACTAAAGTAAAAAAGTAAATTACTATCTAAATACTAAGCACGAAATACCCACGTGTATATAGTAACTATTGTTAAATTATGGTATAGTATTGATTAGCTAATTTTTATTTTTTTATATAAAAATGCTTCATAATAACCGTGTATGTAATAAGGAAAGATCCATTTCACCATTATACAGATACAACTCAATCAGCAAATGAAAATAGTGTTACACAGCGGAAGTCGCGTGACGCTGGGAGGATACGCGCTGGAATTTCCCGAATTATCGAGAAACCCCGCGAATGTCCGACTGTTTGCTAGACGCCCTCTTTTTTTTTTTTAGTATATAAGCCTGGCAAAGAAAGCCAGCGATATAGATAGATAGATAGATAGTTATAGTGACAGATAATTGAGTCAAGTGAACGGTAGTGACGGTAATATAAAGTGTGTGTTTTGTTATTGAGATTGCA